AGGCCAAACATCCGCTAAAACAGTTTAGTTCACCATAAAATCTGCATATAACAAAAAAAAACCAGTCCAGGAAATAGAATACAAGCCAGTCATCTACTAACATCAATTTTTGAACTCAAGCCAAGTTAACGTTCAAACATTTCCTAACCGCCTAGCGTCAAGCCATTACCCTGACGTGCTAGTGATAACCAAGTTGCAATTCATCTAATAAACAAGTTCAGAGAAGGCAATTCAAAGTCGGTCCTTGCAAAACAGGTCCCTGCATTAGGGTCACAAACAACTTATCAGAGGAAACCAATTCATAATCAAAATGGGGCCAATTTCATAACAGTTTTTTGTGTGCGCAGTAGTTTGATAATAGAAATAACAGAAAAAGACTATTAAGTAAAGGAGATTGAAACTCAGAAAAAAGGAGAAACCATTAACTCAATAAAAAAAATTTCCAGCTTGTATAATTATCCCCTAACTGATTCTCAAACAAAAAAACAAAAAAAAACTAATCTCTAGCAATTCCCTGACTAACTTTCTCACAACAACCAAAACAGAAAATAACTTCTAACTGCATTTTCCTAACAACCTAGTACAAACTCCTAACTGATTTCTAACCACCTAATCTCTGCCCTCCATTCCATAACAAACTCTATCAAGATCCAAAGATCCAATGGTTAAGGACTTCTCACTGCAACCTATATAACGAAACCATAGCAGAATTGGAAAGGGGGGAATAACAGAAAATAGAAAAGTTAACAGAAGATTCACCTCTGAATCTCTCGAATATTTGTCTGAAGCACTCTTCATCTTCAACCTTTCCCTTGTACATCCCTCGGCATCTTCATCAACAATCACTTTCTATGATTTTTTCTCGATCTACTACTTCAATCCGCACACACAAGATCAACTGCAAATTCATCATCAATCTTCCTCATCTGCTTCAACCTTCACGCTTCATTATTCATCTGCATCTTTGGCACGCTACAACAGTTTCATCATCGCTGCAACCTAACAACAACAAATCTAGAAGAATTCAACAGTTCTCGTAGACGAGCGAAGAGTAACTGAAGCAGCGCGAAAGGAATAAGGAGAAGAAGAATTTACCTTTGAATTTCTCGCTCAACGTCATTGTTAAATAGCCGCCGGAACGTCTTCAGCCAGTAAGCTTCGACATTCCTCCATTTTTTTATTTCTTTCTACGGTTTGTTGTATCACAGAATCAAAGTGAGACGAAGGTGCGATATGCGGAGGAGAACCGAATGTGACGAGACAAATTGGGATGAGGATTGAGAAGGAGATCCACAAAGTGATACTCGGGCGAGACTTGAGCGCGATGTTAAAATAGAGACGAAGATAATGATGGCGAGTCAAGGACGGTCAAGGCGGAGTCAGAACTGTTTATGGTGTCGTCGGAAGAAATCGTCGGAGAAGAGGAAGTTATTCGCCGCGCCGCTCGAAGGAGAGAAGAGGAGAGTTCTCGGGGTGTTTGAAAGAAGCTAAATAGCAACAAAAAAAAACCTAATCCCTTTTTAAGTTTTTTTATTTTTCTTTTTTTTTCTTTTTGTGAAAATCTTAAATACATAAATGTCTAGATAATGATCGGGCCACAATTATCTACCATAAGCCCAACCCCCTGCATTTTTTTAGTTTGAGGTGCAGTAGAACAAAAAAGGGTGCCATTGGACCTTGATGCAATGGGCCCTGCCCCCAGTTTACTACAGTACCCCACTAGAATCCAGTTTACTACAGTACCCCGCTGACTATTTCTATTTCCTATGTTTTTTCTAGATTTTGTTTTGTTAGTTTAAATTCCTTTTTATAATAAAAGTAGTATCAAAATACATATAATAAAACAATAAAAAAAATATAGATTTTAGGAATGCCTCTTATATTTTTTAGGGTAATAAACTACAAAAATCAATAAAAATTTATTAGATTTCTCATTTGATTTTTAGGAAATTAATTCCTAATTTTTCGATTACTTGAGACTTGTGATTCATCTTTGCTTATTGAGTTGAGTCTTATGCAGGTTCGTTGTTTGATATGCATACATGTTTGAGTTTCTGATTGTGATTTATTTTCACATCGATGATGCTTCGATACCTATTCCAAATATTCAATCTCTGACTGTTTATTTGTTGACGACAACTCGCGCAAAGTATTCCGGTTTTCTTTGCTTTGGTTGCGCTTTTTGCGAACATTATTGTTCGTTTGGTATTATACTGCTTCCAAGTTATATTTCTGCATTTATCGCTTTCTAGAAATCATGTGAAGTAGGAAGCAGGAAATAAAGAGCGTGCGCTCGAAGTCGCTGTTTAAAGACCTGTAGCAGGCATTCCGCACTTCATTTGCTATATGTGTCGTGCTTGTGTTTGTTTCCTTGATTGTTGATCGATGAGTCACTCAATTTAGAAATTTAGATCATGACGTCGCTCTCAGTGCATGCTCCCTATAGGATTTTATCGCTTTCCTTTATTTCTTGTTGATTGATGAGTCACTCAATTTAGAAATTGAGATCACGACTTCGCTCTCATTGTATGTTCCCCGTAGGATAGTTTTGTTAGACTTTCTTTGGCGTGCTAACCTAGATAGGATCTCTCTAGGTGTGCTCTCTTGAGCTTATTGGCCTGCTTGCTTGATTTCGTCTTTGTGTGCTTGTTTTGAGACGATAGACCCTTGTTATGCTCCTTTAGGACTTCTTGATTCATCTATAGATGATGAGTTGAGATAGACATTAGGACTGTTACCCAAGCATGTCAACTTAGGGTAGAGATTTCCCTTTTTAAAGCTCAACATTAGGATCAACCATTGTATGATAACATTAGAGATAGATTTAGGTTAGTCTCCCTTTATACTTTTCTTTCCCCTTTTGTATTTGCATTAAAATAAAAACTTCTTTTTCTTGCAAACTTCAAGACACTTAAAGATTACTGATGAGAGTCATACCTTTGTTGAGCATGGGAAATGATATGCGGGTTTCTTCTCGATCTTATTGTTCTTCCCTTCTAAGAATTGGTGTGGTTCAAGTCTCAAAGACTTATTTCATGAATAAATAGAGAAGTGGCTAATATCTCTCTCTTGAGATTAACTAGCTGTTATCCGTAGCAAAAAACACCACCCAACACAAACTCTTTTGCCTTTGGGTTGTTCTTTCAAAATTCTTTCCAAAAGGACATGTTAAGTCACTTCTGTGTTGATGCGTAAGTCTCCAAAGGTCGAGTTGCAGTAGAAGGCGAAATTAATATTGTTCATTAAAAAATATATAACAAACAAAAATATTTGAAGCCGAACTACGGTGCTCTGATTTCTTAAAATGGATACGTAGGCATTGGGGTAGGGCCCGAACGAGCACAACTTTTATTTTCCCTGCATTATTTTCCGTTTCCTTTGCATGCATTCCCTATTAGTTTATAACTCTTAAGCATTAGGTTGAACACACCCTTTGATTAGAACAACAAGAGTGGATCCTGTAGAGTACTACGGACGTGTGGGATGCTAATACCTTCCCCTCGCGTAATCGACTCCCTTATCCAATCTCTCGGTCGTAAGACCTTGATTTCTCCTTTAGGTTTTTCTTCGATGATTTTTCTTTCCCTTTTGTGGGATAAATAAATACTCGGTGACGACTTCATTGGTTTTACCTCTACAGGAGGGGTGATGTATCTCTAGTCAACAACGGTGTAGAGGAAGTCATGCAGAAACTAACAACTACAATGCGTAATCATGGGGGGAGTGATGTGTCTCTAGTCAACAATGGTTTAGAGGAAGTCGTGGGGAAATTAACCACACTTCCCTGAATAACGGGAGAGTAACTACCCACACTCATATTTTCTTAGAAGCGATTGTTATTCTCAAGGGGCATATGATCCAAGCCCAATATGATTATAAATATCTCAATCCTAGAGTTGAGAGAGAACAATATGATATTCTTATACACAAACTACATACGTAGAATGTGAGCTAGCTAGACCTAGAAGACACCACATTATTATGCATCACTCTTTAAAATCTTTATAAAAGATTCATTGCGTATGGTGCTAGAAAGTCAAAATTGTTAAACGCATATGGTATAAAAGCTTATGGTAGAGATAATGAGATCAAGAAGGTCAAAATGCACCCACTAAGTGGCAAAAATGAAATGCTCAAATTGAATGAACAAGAATCAATGGCTAAGTTCCCCACAAGATTGGTCGTGGTGATTAATCAAATGAAGACATGTGATGAAATTGTTAGTGAGCCAATCAAGGTTTTGAGAACTTTGAATTCAAGATTTGATTACATTGTTTGTGCAATAGAAGAATCACATGACCTTGTTGCAATGAAGACATGAGATCTTTAAGCCTCTCTAAATGCTTATGAGCCGAGAATGAAGTGAAGGAACTCAAAAAAAAAGTGATTGAGTAAGCATTGCAAACTAAGAAAGAGAAGAAGATAAAGGTTGATGATTCAAGATACTACAAAGATAAATTGAAGAGAGAACAAAAAAAAAAGAGAAATAAGGTTTTGAAAACATCAACAAAAACACAAAAAATCATGCTGTGGCAACCAACATGTGTGAACTTGATTGTTTGATTTGCCAACCATTAGCATGCCTTTGATAATTATTAACGTGTAACTTCTTGCATTTCACATTACTTCTTGTTGGGTGGATCATCAATCAAGTAGCCATTTTTCAATCTAGTCTAGAGTCATTTTAGCCTAAAAAATATCTCATTTAGTTGAGTGTAATGTAATAGTATATTATTCAATAGAAAAGTTGAAAATGTCTTTGTTTTGCTTTCCTTCCAATTAAAGGTGAGAAATTGATGTAATTTGTATTGTATTTAAATCTAAGAATAAAGCATATAATAAAATGAATCCATTGCTAAGAAACTTTCATCCAATAACATATTTCCAGAGTCCTCAAAAGGGAAGCTAAAAGATTTGAAGATGAAATGATGATTGTCACCAAAAAATGAAAATTCATAAGTTATGTGGACTATGAATAATTGTCATCAAGAATTTTCCACTCAATGTCTAGTTGCAACCTGCTCCTTACACACAGGACAGAAATTTTTGTGTGCAACCCATTGTTGTATACATTCAAAGTGATACAAATGATCACACTTCAGCCTCCCAACCTCATCATCTTCTTCAAACTCCTCCTGTCCGAAAAACCGAGAATTTTACTTCCATGAACTAAAACTAATGTCGATAAAAATATATTCAATCCTAAATTAAATTTTGCAAACTAGATACCTGACAAATGCTGCATTTTTTGTCTACCTGATGCTTTGATGCATCATCGTAAAATCGAAGTTTGGTCTTCCTTATGTGAGGTTCCATTTCATCTTGTTTAAGTCCAGTATTGACATGACCGATTCTCTCACCAAGCTCAAGCAATTGCTATCAAACACAAAGTAATAACTTATACAAACATGAAACAAAGTTGCACACATGTACACGGGGCAAAACAAAAACGAAGAACTCACCTCATATGACATGTTATCAACATCTAGTCTCAAATCTCTGAAAAGGTCGCGCGAATTGTACCGTCCTCCCATTAGTATTCTTCCTTGAAGCAGCATTATCTTCAAAGTTCCAACAATAATCAAAATATGCAAATTATTATCTTAACAAAAACTTGATTGGTTATAACACAATTTTGTCCAAGAATATCATCAGATTGACTTACTCGACTCCGTCTACAAACTACCATACAGGGAAATTATATATCAAAACCACAACATGCTCATACGTTTAGCAGACATTGATTTTATCAAATTTTGTCAGAAAACAAGAGCAAAGTAAAGAACATGATTTGGTATATTCTATTCAAGGAAAGCCAACCCAATACATTCAAGTGCTACATAAAACAAAGAGTAAACTTGCAGTGATTAACAAGTTATTATTTTGCTTAGATTTTAAGAATCAGATTCATAATGAAAAAATACAATACACAAGAGCACAAGCAAACCTCAGATAAATCATCAGAAGAGAGATCTCTGATATGGCGAGGGTATGTTGCAGTTCCAAAAGAGCATGTGGTGAAAATGTCAGGATCGGCATCCGGAAAAGAGAAGGTTTCTGGGTAGACAGTAGTAGTACGCCTTCGGAATGAAGATGAAGGCTGCCAATATAGTCATAATGATGAAGTTTAGTACACACAATGATGTTAAGGAATTTGAAACCAAAATGATGATGAAGTTTAACATAAGAAACCAAGCACAACTCAAACAAAAGTCCAAACTAATCATAAGCATGTGTCTATCTAAATCACAACAAACAAGTTTATAATTGAAACACACACAAATTGTACTATTATGCATAAGAATATCAGTGATCAGAAAACAAAAACAGCCCAACATGAAAACAGTCAAAGATTTCAAAATAAGGATATGACTTTGGATTTTGGAGGCTAGATAACAATAAGGAAAACAAACTTCAAAATTAAATTCATGAATAAATAAACAAGAACATTGGTCACTAGATTCATTCATACTAGTACATTCTAAATGCATGCAAAAGATCAATTAGGCAAAAGAAAGAGAAACATCATAAATGCAATCTAACCAATGTCCATAGAAAAACAAAAGACACAAACAAAGTAATTACTTCTTTGTGAGTCATCTTTTCCAAATCAATCTTAGCCCTTGAAGAAACATTCTTCTTTGAAACAACACAATCAACAGAAGCAGCAGCATCAATTCCAGGTCCACACCAAACATCTTGAAAATCAACACAAGTAGCAGAAGAACCATCATTAACACTGTTCTTGATACTTCCTCCTGCAGTATTCCTCGTATGCTTCTTTTTTCTGGCTTTCTTCCCTTGATGAGTCCAATCTGCAGAAGCACGAATCACCGCCGGCACCGACACTTGCTGAGAAGCACCGGCAGTACACCCCAAACCTCTGAAACTAGCTGCCGCAGATAAAAAGTTAATCTTTTTGTTGGTGGGTTGCTGAGAAACTGCGGATTCATTGGAGAGTGTGGAGAGAAGAAGAGATGAGATTGTGGAGTTGCAACGAGTGGTTTGGATTTGTTGATCCATTTCTGAAATGGGTTTGTGGTGGCTTTTGATTTGGTTTCTGGGTTTTCTCGATTTCATCGTATGTTGTTGTTCTGTTTTTGTTTGTGTGACAGAAGAAGAAGAAGAAGAAGACATGGTTAGTTGGAGAAGAAAGAATGAGATGGAAATTTTGCAGAGAATAATAATAATAATAATATTTTTAGTTTTGAGATTTTAAATAATATATTTGTAGGGTTGGTGTCCTTAGGTGGGGTTTTGTGTCACAAGATAGATAGAGTGAGGGCTATGGTACTTATGAAAAGTAAAGGTTTGAAAATTCTTTGCTTTCTCTTTAATCTATGATTCTTACCATTTGGATTCTTGTAGAGGGCAACAATTTTATATTTAAATCAAGTATTGGAAGTGTATTGAATATTATTTGTACTATAGAAAGTCAAAACTTCTGTTGTACTCTAGGTGGATGTTTCACCAGAGTAAATAGTACTTTACTAATTGATTTTAAAAATGTAAAGTACATGTTTATGGAATTATTATAATATAGTAATAATGTCTTTATTAATAATCTTATCTTAACACTCTTCAAATTGAAGTATAAAGATGCTGAATAGCTGACTTAGGAAAAACTCAAATTGTGTCTTTGTGTCATTCTAAAAGCCTCCTATAAATATGTTTGTTAATTGTTTCGTCATAGGTACATACAAGGGACTAATAATAAATATAATTGTCGTATTGAGAATAAAATGACTGTCAAATTCTTTTATAAAATATCGAATTTTGAGCAATATATATATTATTAATTGTCACAATATTAACACGTCTTTTTGGGATGACTAACTCATAAATCACTAAGTAACTATTTGAGTCGTTTTAGCTCATATGTAGTAGTTGGCATAAAGTGTTACTCAGCTTCCGCATAAGAACGTGAGAATGTGACGCTATTGGTTATTTTTTTAGTTTTCTAAGACACTAAGGAAAAATCAAGTAATACAAATCACCTTGTCAAAGAACGCTTCTTAAGTGAACAACTAGCCCAATAAGAATCGCATCATCCCTAAAATGTCAATTCAAAATCAATATCTTAAATAGAATTCCTTAACCCATTTTTTCTCCAAGTATCTAACAACACTTAAAGTTGTCTCCTAATGTTCTATACGAGGTTCTTACATAAATTAGTTTTGAGAAACAAGTGTGAGTTTTAAGTCCCACATTACTTAGAATTGTGAAGGTTGAGCACTTTATAAGTGAGAGGACTCATACACCTATCACCTTAAGGTTTTGGGTGAATATGTAGTGTCTTTCTCATTTGTTTGAGTGAGTCGTTGATCTTTAGGTGAGTGTTTGGCCCAATGTGAATACTTCCCCCTCATGATGATCCAACTCTGGTATCAGAGTTTGGTTTGAGAAAAGGATCAGCTCCTTGTATCGAAATCTTCCTGACACGATGGTGGTCAGGCAACGTGTCATGTTGTAGCGCCCCTGACGAGATAAGGGTGTCTATCAACGACGGTACGAGCATATGGATGAAAGAGCTTCCGCTTGAGGGGGAGCATAGTGGATAGACTCACACTTCCGCTTGAGGGGGAGCATAGTGGATAGACTCACACTTGTGGGAGAGATTGTTAAGAAACAAGTGTGAGTTCTAAGTCTTACATTGCTTAAAATAGTAAAGGTTAAGCACTTTATAAGTGAGAGGACTTTGATCTTTAGGTGAGTGTTTGGCCCAATGTGAATGCTTCTCCCTAGTGATGACCCAACAATTAGGACAAATTATGTACAACTAAGTGATAACTAAGTGATATTAGACCTAGTCATTGACAAATAAATTAACCTCTATATATGTCTTTGATAGTGTTTTTGGTAACATGCAAGGATACTTTGTGATGTTTTTCCATAGAAAAATCGACGGGTTTAACACTTAACATCCATGTTTCATCATTGTCCACATACACTAACACATTGATTTGTATTTTTGTTGTTGTCCAATATGAAAGAGAGCATTCTGAATAAGATTGAACAAATTCATATCGCTTCAATGCAGCAATCAGTTTAGTAAACTAACATCATGGAGTTTGTTTCAAGTCACATAGTGAGTTTTTCAACCTGCAAACCAAATTTTGCTTAGTAGTAATAAAACTTGGAGGTATATTAATGTAGACTTTCTCATCCAAATCACCATGAAGAAATGCTTTGTGCACATCTATTTGACGAACTTCTCATTTTTTATTACTGTTACCACCAAAAAGTATAATCAATCACCATTTTTTTACCGAAGCAAATGTCTCATCATAGTACATTCTCTCAATATAGTGATATCCAAGAATCACAAGTCTTGCTTTCAATCTTTCTATGCACCCAACTAAATGATGTTTTATTCTATACACGCACTTGCTTCCAAAAGCCTTATTCCCGTGTGGTAGAGTTTCCAATACCCACGTCTCATTCTTTTCAAGGGCTTATATCTCATTGGTCATTGCATCATGTCAACCATTATCCTTTATGACTTCCTTAAAAATTTGAGGAATTTTCTCTTATGTGACATCTGTGTCAAAATTTAGATATATAATTTTAGTGCAAAAGGAAGTTGAACCATAAATTTTGGTGGAAAAGGAATTTGAACAATAAATTTTAGTGTATAAAATTAGATTTAGAATCAAAAACTACATGTATTTGTATCTTTAAGTATAATCAATTTTGGATATATATATATATATATATATATATATATATATATATATATATATATATATATATATATATATATATATATATATATATATATATATATATATAATCAATTCTACTTTTGAAGAACCAAAGACATCATATCGATTTTACACCTTTATAATTGCTTTTGACCTTTCAAAATGGAAATCAAACATACACTTAGTTTCAAGTAGAATCAATTATAGAGACAAAATTAATTTTATTTAAAAATTTAAATATATCAAAATTTAATTATAGAACATGTGTTTGGTTAACTACAAAGTATAGTTTAAAGTAGAATTAATTCTGAAAGCATAATCAATTTTATTTTAAAAGAACTGGACAACTCAAAATTATTCCTAAATCAATTTTAAACCTCTAAAATTACTTTTAACTCATGTAAAAAGATAAATCAAACATATACACATAACTAGAATCACTTTTTTTTCCAAAAATAAAACGAAACATATTTTTTTAAAAATCAAATATACCTATATATAAATGAAAGTGTGACACTAAAAGCCCAAATATAAGAAATTGAGAAACGAAACAAGTAGTGCTGAAACATATATCAAAACAAACAAGGCCAAAACAACAACCAAACCAAAACAACAACAACATAAACAACAAAAGCTAAAAAAACTCAAACACGAGACGAAGACCAAAAAGAGATAAACCAAGAGCACTGGAAGAGATCATTGGCTAGAACACCCCAACCAAAAATTTGCAAAGACAGCATCAAACTCCACAATTCAACAAGAACACTCTGAGAGGAGGTCGAAGACCCTCAGGCTGCTATTGACTCAGATGTAGGATAGGGTTCTCGAGTCAGGCCGAGAAAGCATATGAGTATCTCACGGACCTACCATGATACTATTTATAAGCCAAAAGAATGTGCATGTCTTCCACGTCCTTCGTTATCACCAATTTACCTGAGAATACTATATCATCCCGATATTTCCAAATCGATCAAACCACAACATGCCAAATCATCAACCACCGCCCTAAGCCTAGACGAATCACCACTATAAAAAAATATTTAAAAAAGGGTAAAAGAATCCTTAGGTATGGCTACAAACCAACCTATCCATCTGAAAATTCTATATCTCACAGAAACCACCACCTCATAATTGATAAACACATGAGAGGAAGACTCTAGAAACCTCAAGCAGAAAGGGCACAAGACACCTTATGACTCAATATTGTTCTCCTTATTAAGTAAATTTTTCTCCGGTAGTTCTATCTTGTAAGAATTTTCAAGAGAAAACTAACACTTTAGAGGGAACCCAAATGCTCCAAATTCTAGAGAGAGCCAACTCGACCGTCGAGACCTGATGATCTATAGGGAACTCATGATAGAGAAGAAACGAGTACACAGACGCCATATAATAGAAACCATCTCTAGAATTTTTCCACCACCACTTATCAGGATGGAAATAAGGGATAAAATCTATAAGTAAAAAAGTGAGATCTTCTCCACTTAAGATCTCAAACCAAAGTCTGCCCCCTCCCACTTACCAACCTCTCGTACGGAGCAATCTTTCTGAACATCGATAGAAAAAAATATAGGGACCCTAACTTTAAGAGGAATGTCTCTGACCCAAGGGTCTTTCTAGAACTTTGTGAAAAGACTAGAGTCAACTATCTTAACCATATTATCCTGAAATCAATTTGAGGGATCCTCCCCTTTGGCACCAAGAAGACACTGAACGAAGGCATACAACCCTATTTCCTAACACAAAATATGTTGGAATAACGTCATACTCCCTCCATTCCTATTTATAAGAAAATTTTGACTTTTTAGATTCATTGAATAATTGATGTATCTAACCTATATATGGACCAAATACATCATTCATTCAATGAATCTAAAAATTTAAAATTTTCTTATAAATAGGAATGGAGGGAGTATTTAGCAGACAAAATATTTCTTTAGACCCCTTAGTCACCCGAGAGTAATTGCCACCTCCACTTGTCCAATAGAGTCAAATTAATCAATTTATGACCTCCAAATTTCTTGGACTTACAAATATCAAACGACCCACACACTTCTGACACCACCCCACAAAAACCTCCTTTAAATTTTCACTATCTTCTTTCAGACCTTAACACACATTTTAAGAAAAGACAAAAATAAGATAGAAATTGCGTTAAGCACGTAATTAAGAAGAATCATTTTCTCTTTCAAAAAAATATACATATTTCTAAAAATGAAACAACTTAAAAATGAGATTAATTAGGTATCAGAATTTATCTCCACAAAAAAAAACTAAAATACTTAAACCGAATGACCTACCTACATTAAATTTTTCAACATTGAACTAATAGAAAAATGAGAAATCAATATACAATAATCTTAATATAAACAATTTTAATACGATAAAACAAATGTTTTTAATATAAACTACTTTTACAAATAAAGTAAGTTGAAC